TGCAGCTCAATGGTTTACCAAAAAATCTGACCATGTCTCTAGGTTAACCCATTGAGCCACAATGTGCCCTACTTAGACTAAGAAATATATATTTCTGAATAGCAAAAAAATCTTCTATAGTTTTGTGTGCAAGTTCACACATTTGCATCCATCAAGAATAGAAAATCAACTACAAAATTGGTAGTGTGAACCAAGCTTTAGAACATGTACAGTTTGTCATCTAATCTGTAATGTGAGATGTTTTTGTTGTGTTTAAATATACATTTATACAATTTAATCTTGAAAAGCTTCAAAAAACATTTCATATATGTCTTTGCAAAGGTTTTATACATCATAAAGCTAAGTCATTAGCTTTGATGGCCTAACCTTTGCCGAGATGTTCGATATGTAGTTGCCATGGAAATGTTGGAGCTGAAGTTATGAATGCTCAAAAGAGTTAAGGGTTATGTGTCCATGACTCTCACTTTTTGAATTCTGAAAATATGCACAAATTGTGTATTTGACCTCTCTTAAATTATGATTCAGCAGCCAAATAGAACCATTAAGAAAGAGACGTAAGCATGTCTATTGTGCTTTTCAGGCTTAAAGGTAGAGGTTTTGCAGTTGTGAGTTTTCACAACTGCAAAAAAGTGTGCACAACCGCACAATTTCTTGGATATGTGGAACAACTAGATTTACTATAGAAGACATTTTCATCACAAACATTTTGTCACCATATGTCTACATTGACAAAAAATTTCCATATTACAAAATATTCCCATTTTGCATTACAATTAAAGTTAATGTTTTGTAGAAGTTGTTCAAATCATGGAAGTTGTTTCATCTGTGATCTTTCAAACTGAAAAATATAAAAGGAAATATATCAGTGATATACTGGTATAAAGTGCATGCAAGAACAGTAATGAGTATCACTAATATTAAACTAAAATGGATATTAAATAATTTGAAAAAAACTTAAACAAAGTGTACTGATCAACTTAAGTCTCTTTCAGCCAGCCAATTACATATTTCCAACAATACATATGATTATTGTATTTCTTGAAATTGTGCTTGGATAAGTTGGATTTAATATGCAAATTACCAACCAGAAACGGTATGACATAACATGATGTCTTTCAAAATTAAGTAAAGCAATACAAAATTTTCATGTAAGAATATATTTTGTAGCAATACAAACAAAAATATAAAAATAACTCAAATCTAACTATGAATAGTATCTCGGTCACGAAAAACACCGCACTAAATTGTTAAATTACAGCTTCAAAACTTTAAATATTCTTTGTAAATAAGACTAGATAAGACCACATACCTTCTTTTTAAACAAATCATTCATTTTTTGATAATTTAGAAGGAAATCGTCGCTGAAAATCCACTTTTTGCAGTTAACTCCCTAATAACTCTATATAAAATCCTCCATTTTTACTTCCTGGGAAGATGGCGGCCGAGATGCGCGAGGCGACATGCGCGGCGCCATTTACATCAAAGGTTCCGACTCGAGTGGCACTTCTATTCACATTTCTTATTCTATGGCGCAGGCTTACATTCCAATGGTCGGGACCTGACTGTTGGAATGTTATTATAATATTTTGTATCTTTTGAACTTTCTTGAATTGAATCTTTAGTCTGTATTCATTTACAAGCATAGCAAACCAGAAGAGTGTTAAAAAGTTAGTATAATATATATCTAATCATATTTTCAACTGTAGCACTGAGTTCAAAATGTAAACAAAGCGTTTGTTTACATTGCGGACTTTACATGGTCTGTAAAACAGCTAGAAATAAAGTAAATATAGAGTTAAGGAATGCCAAAAAAGATTACTATTCCTCGAAAATAGCTGGTCAAAGATTCAATCCTAAAAAGGCTTGGAAAAGTATAAACAACTTATTAGGCAGACAAAACAAACAAACTGTAGTAAATGAGCTGAATGTAAATGAAGATAATTTAACAAGTCCTTAAGAAATTGCAGAGGGCTTTAATAACCATTTTTCAAATATTGGTCCAGATTTGGCCAGCAAAATTGATACTTCAAATTACAATTTTGAAACGTATATTAGGCCATATAAAATAAATTCCTTGATTCTCATCGCTAAATTTTAAAAACTCCCAGGAGGCGGGAGGTTTATATTTTATATTTTATGTCAAAATATAAAAAAAAGTTTAAAATTTAAAAAATTGGAGAGGGAGGTCTTTTTATATTTGCCTTAAATATATTATAGAAGAACGCTATATAAGTGGATAATTGCACATGCGCTCATGAACATGCATAAGGGTCCACACAAATCGTTGTAATAAAGCCCGGCTATAAGCCCATTTTTTCCTTCAGTATTCCAAGCATCCCTTAACATGTTGCAATATTAACGATAAAACAATTTTATATTGCAAAAATTCCAATATAAAATATAAAAATAACTAAATCTCTGAAGATGCTCGGTCGGGCGGTAAATTTATATTTTATAACAAAATACAAAAATATATCAACGCGGAAACCAAAATATCGTCGGGCGGTGATGAGAATCAAGGAATTTATTTTATATGGCCTTAAGGATATACTAAATCAGAATTTGCTCCATTTCAGCCTGTTACTGGTCAGTCATATCGATCTGTTGTCTCTTAAATGGGTTTTCTGGCAATAAAGCAACTGGCATTGATAAGATTTCTTGTAAAATTATTAAAATAGCAGCTCCTGCCATCTCAGATTCACTGACATTTATTTTTAATCAGGCTATTACTCTATCTTCTTTTCCTGATGAATGGAAAATAGCTAGAGTAATACCTCTGTATAAAAATGGCCAACCAAATATTCCAGTAAACTATAGACCAATATCAGTTTTGCCGGCCATTAGCAAAATTATGGAATGAATTAATTATGTTTGATCAACTGTATAACTATTTACAAAATATCAACTCCTTAGTTATTCACAATTTGGTTTTCGAGAATTTCACTCCACAGCAACTGCATTGCTGGACTATACCAATGATTGGTATATGAACATATGCAGAAAAAAGTTTAACCTAGTAGTTTTAATTGATTTGAAAAAGGCATTTGATACTGTTGATCATCAAATTCTGTTGAGGAAGTTAGAGCTCTATGGAATAAAAGGACAAGCTCTAACTTCGTTCAAATCTTATCTTACAAACCAATATCAGAAATGCCAGATAAAAAACTCCTTTTCATCAGAACAATTGATTAAATGTGGCATACCGCATGGCTCTATTTTAGGGCCACTATTCTTTTTATTATATATTAATGATTTGCCTGAATGTCTAAACAAAACAAAACCTCGGTTGTTTGCTGATGACACAAATCTGACAGCCTCAGGAGATTCAATTACTGATGTTGTGACTGTAGTAAATTCTGATTTAGAAAACCTCAGAAAATGGCTAACCGCAAATAAACTTAGCCATGGAAACTAGTGATATTTTACTACTTGAGTAAGCATGCACTAAGGGACCAGTCATTATTAATGCCGGGTAGGGGGCTGGAGGATTTAAATATAGAGGGGCCACAAAAAAATTTTGACCAGGGGCAGAAAATATTTTGAACATAAAGGGGGGGGGGGCAAAAAATAAAATCTATGGAATAGTTTGTAACAAGTAATATGATAATATCAAAAGAGTAAGGGAACGGTCATAAAGTATCTACAACCCCGGGGCGGAGGGTATTCTGATGGGGTGTGAAACTGTTCCCCACACATTTGATGGGGCACAAAATATTTTGACAACCAATTGATGGGGTACGAAATTTTCAACAAAGACTAATATAGTAATGCATATAGTACTCAAGATCTGTCACTCATAAATTTTGTAAAATATAAATTTACATTTCTACAATATATAAAATCTACCATAAAGAGTATATCAATATGTTTTTTACTTATACAAATGGAAATTATAGGTTGATGTGGGGGCTCAAGGCCCCCAGCACCCCCCCCCCAAAAAAAAATTGAAGCTGGTTTGCTTTCCAAAGTTTCACAATGCTATCAGAGTCAAAGAGCTTTGATCTGAATTCCATCACATACTAGAGCCTAACTTTCCAGTTTTTCAATTAGTTTCTGAGAACTTGTCTCTTGGTTTGACGTTAGACAGAGTATTGCTAAAGCAAACAACATTTATGGCATTCCCATCCTTGCTATCTGGGTCTATTATACTCATTACCCTTTTTCCTCGCTTCTCACAATCTTTTGTTATTTTCCAACGTACTGTGTCCGCTGTGAAATTACATACTCTTTAAATTGAATTGGAGCCATTAAATCATATGACGAACTGCATGTACAGCTCTTCCAATGTTTGGTAGAATCCACAAGTCCTTTGCTAAAATTATGCCTGGCTTTGTAATTTTATCAAGGGCAACATCCTTCAAAAAACGTTCGATTTCCTCGACGTTTTGTTTGTAATTTGGTCCAAGTCATCATAGCCTCGTTCAAGCAAATACTAAAATATTGATTAAGGTTACATCTTTCTCGCTCTGATTTACTGAGGATATAAAATCACAATCAGAAGCCATCTTGTCTTGGTTCTTGATCTTGAGACATCTTGGCGCGCCTCGAAACGGGGAACTGGGATTGAATTTACGAGTTGCTAAAATGTCATATTTCAAAGGGTCGTAGAAGCAACGTATTAAAGTCGGATAAACGTCGGTCTACAGTCGTTGAAGGACGTGAAACAAGCTTTATTTTGATACCAAACATGGCCGTATGCGTTTAGAAAGATGCTTTGTACACGACAGTAAAGTTTAACGTTTTATAGATAAACTGCGATATAGCAGACAAAGCAAGATTTAACCCTTGGTTTTCCAATTTAGTCGCACAATTGTTTGTAATTTGAAATCTACATACCCTGTCTCGCGGCTGTTGACTGCCATGCCACGTTTTAAGATCGGCAACCTGTCCAAAGAGAGAAAGCGACTGAAGGAGAAAGTTGTCATGGAAAACCACAGTTTAGATGCACTTCATGATGAACTTTCTAAGTTGACAACTGAGAAGGAAAAGAAGAGAAAAGAGCTATGTAATATGAAAGCGAAACACAGAAGGCTGGATCTCAAGGTTGGTTGTAAACGCATGTAAATTTAACCCGATGATTTGCTTAATTGCTTTGGGAATTTCTGCATGTTCGTTTATAAAAAACTCCAGAAAATAGCTTCTATTCAACCAGGCCAGATTTCATAAAATATCTCGATGTTTATAACAAGCTGTTGGGAAGATTGCTTTGTGGTATTTTGTTAACCTGAGGCTACGGTCACCAGCTTTTGAACAGCAGGCCCCAGATTAACCCATTGAGTCACATTGCTCCCAATGCGCCCTACTTTATCATTTTACTCTGTCTAACGCCAGATGATTTTACTCGTCAAGGGGAGAGTGCTGGCGTTTAAACAATAAAGTTGATATTAATTTTTTTCTGTGTTGGTGTTGTGTACTCAGGTGAATAATATGTTTGCGATGTTACTCTGAGTGCATATCCACACCGGGCGAGCTTGGGCTAGTATTCCAAAGGTTGTAGGTTCGAATCCCACCGTGGCCAGGCATATTTTTCAAGCTCGCCCGGGTGTGGATATGCACTCAGAGTAACATTGCAAACATATTATTCACCTGAGTACACAACACCAACACAGAAAAAAATTCATATTACTAGAACACATTGGTATTGAAGGAACTAGATACTGTTCTGAAATATCACTTACTCGAACCGTCCTGACCGCGTAGCTCAGTTGGAAGAGCATTGGGTCTAGTATTCCAAAGGTCGTAGGTTCGAATCCCACCGTGGCCGGGCATATTTTTCAAGCTCGCCCGGTGTGCATATGCACTCAGAGTAACATCGCAAACATAATAAAGTTGATATTTTGAATAATTATGTTAATTGTTACTTATGCTTTCTTCCTGCCTTGCTTTTTGTATATAAGATCGACAAGATAGTTAAAGAAGTTGAGGACTTACAAGACATAGAAAAAGAGCTAGTTCAGCCTCAGACATCAGGAGTTCCAGAAACTCGGTGTAGTATTCAGTGTAGTGTTCAGTGTAGTGTTCATGCAGGGTCTAAGATTTGCAGTATCCTAAACTGCACAAGATACTAAAATATGGCTTTGGGTGCCAAACTGGGAATTACCTGTATCTGGATACTTCAAAATTTCAGATATTAGGACTGTTATGTCCCTTATAGCCACCAGTCAGCTTGTGAATGCAACAAGTTTTCTGGTTTGACAAAAAATATTGTAGTTTATTAAAAGATCATTTGCATTTTAATGTATTATTGATGCCATTTACTGACTTCAAAATGCATTTCAGCCAATAACTTTAGAAAATACATTTCAAACTGCACTCTGAATATAAAAGCATCTTGTGTGCTTGTGTGATTTCAGTTATTATTTAGATGGGTCAGTAAATACCGCTTATGGTAACCTGTATCCAGTGGGATTCTGGAATCTCGGGGATTCCAAAACTGTGAACCATGGTATCCCAGTTGCATACTGAGAAAAAATTTCAATTTCAGACCTGGATGATAGTGCAGGGAAAAGAAAGTGGAGGACTCCTACATTTCTAGTCAATGGAAAGAATGGATTAAGTCCTTCGTTAGCCAGGCAGAGAAGAAAACGAACATTTGAAGCAGCCAGGACTATTCATGGTGGAAAGGACAAATTATCGGTTCCAACATCGATAGGTTTGCTAGACACAGCAATGGTAAAGAGTTCTAAAGATATTTTGGTTGATGTCATGTCTTCTAGCTAAAAGTTCAAGTGCTCAGTCATGCCCAGAGTGTATAAGAAACTGTTAACTTCTTACGAGTCGTCGGAAGAGAATTTAATTAGGAGCATAGCTGTGTATTATAGTGGCAGTATTGTGGGGAAAAAGAAGTACCGTAAAATATGTAAAGATAGTTGCTATCGATTAAAGGGCAAGGGAGGAAAATCTGTTCGGTTAAACATAATCAATAATTGCCCTTTACCTAGGCTTGTACCCTATAATCGCTTAATGCCCTACATCAAGTCAATTCCTTTGGGAACTATTTATAGCACTTATGACACATTGTGTGATGGGTTGGATGATGATGATAAGGTTTGTGGGTGCTATCGCAGGCTGAACGAGATGTTAGTGAAGTTAGCTGAGTTTTATCTCTCCGGATGTAGTGGGCATTCGATAACATGGTTTACAGAACCATACATATTTTTTGTTTCCTTGGGAGGTGATGGTGCCCCCTTTGGAAAGTATGACACAACCTGTGCATGACTTGTGGGCTTTCTGAATATTGGTAGGGGGATATTGAGTAGTAATGAAAACTACTTGCTCTTTGGAGCAAACTGCAGTGAGAATTGCATTGTTGTCTAAAGGTTTATTAAAATTCTTTTGGCTGACATTTGCCAGATTGAAAAAAATGATAGTATCACCT